TTCCCTACATTTTCCTGTTATCTATGCTCTTGATATTATCTGCAACTATTGTGTCTGTGCAGTAGAAATACTGCTCATCTCTAACCAACTCTGCGTTCAGTGACATCACATTGGTAGCTTGAAATCAGCCCTGGGGGAGTATTTACACCACAGAAATTGGCCAATGGTACAAATTAGCACTACCCACCTCCCCCAACCTATTGTTACACATTTACCAGCACAGGGCTGGCTGTAAGTGCTGAGAAACCACCTTCAGTTAATGAAGTTGATGGGAACAAAAGGAGTGTTGTTACAGTGATGTGATGACAGATAACTGAAATTGCATAGTGACCTATCATCAAAAATTATTTTTAATGATCTATCTACTGACAACTGGATTAGAACCTCCTTCCAGTCTATGGAAATCAAGGATTGCAAAAACCATCTGACTTGCAAAAGGATTTCTTATTCTGACCTGAAATTCATTTATTTTCTCAGTTTATTTCCAAATCCTAAGGAAGAGTATTGAGAAGAGCTGAAATTGATTGCTCACCTTTAAACCTGTAGGAAAAAACATGATCAGGGCTGGAAGCTTGCTTTACTGTCAAGGCTCTCTGCCTCAAAAGATTTTCATCCTTTGGGGCTTCCCTGGTGGCGCAGTGGTTGAGAGTCCGCCTGCCGATGCAGGGGACACGGGGTCGTGCCCCGGTCCAGGAAGATCCCACATGCCGCGGAGCGGCTGGGCCCGTGAGCCATGGCCGCTGAGCCTGCGTGTCTGGAGCCTGTGCTCCACAACGGGAGAGGCCACAGCAGTGAGAGGCCCGCGTACCGCAAAACAAAACAAAACAAAAGACATGTGATAAAGAGTCAACATCTAAATGTGATTTCAAAGCATTTTAAAAACTTATACTGTAAGGACATTTCATATTACAATGAAACAATACATAACAGAAACTAGTATTAACCCTAGTAGTATTCTGTAATCTTAGCTAAAACAATAAAACAGTTTATGAGTAAAGAGGTGTAAAGATTGACAAAGAGGAGGTATATCTTTATAGTATATATACAGGTGTGTGTGTGTGTGTGTGTGTGTATAAATATACACACACACACACACACACACACAAAATGAAATCAGAAAGAGACAAGTCTAGGCACTTTGGGCACTGATTGATTGTCATAGAATACTCCCCCCTAATAATTCCAACAGGACTTGTACTTGGGGCCTCAGAGAATTTTACCAAACCCCTCCCCCCCCCACACACACTCACACACACAAATACACACTGTAAGGAGGATATTCAGGGGATAAGGAGAACATGAAACTATCTTTTACAAAGGGTGGGAGCAGATCTCAGAATTAAGATAAACTTGTCCACCGGTTCTCAAAGATATCAAACTTTTTTTTGCGGTACGCGGGCCTCTCACTGTTGTGGTCTCTCCCGTTGTGGAGCACAGGCTCCGGACGCACAGGCTCAGTGGCCATGGCTCACGGGCCCAGCCGCTCTGCGGCATGTGGGATCTTCCCGGACCGGGGCACGAACCCGTGTCCCCTGCATCGGCAGGCGGACTCTCAACAACTGCGCCACCAGGGAAGCCCGAGATCAAACTTTTTAAGAAGTTCAAAATCTGGAAAACAAATCCCTTAAAACAGAGGTCAGCCACCCTAAGACTAAAAAGTCTGCTCTGCAGCTTGTTTGTGTTCAGCCCACTAAGAATAGTTTTACATCTTTAAATGGTTGGGGGGAAAAAAAATCAAAAGAAGTATGCTATCTCATGACACGTGAAAATTATATGAAATTCAAATTTCAGAGTCCATAATAGTGTTTTATCAGGACACAGCCACTGTCCTTCTTTTAAGTATTAACATTTAAGGCTGCCTTTGAGCTGCAGTGCTAGAGTTTGAGTAATTGTGACAGAGACCATCTGGCTCGCAAAGCCTAAAATATTTAGCTCTTTACAGAAAATGATGGCTGACCCCTGCCTTAAAACAACCCGCATTCACTGCCCATTTGGAACGTCTTCTGTTCCCTCAGAGGGCAGCATACCCGGTTGGAAGGGCGCTAATCTAAATTCACGACCCTGGACAAGTCCTTCCTTTCCGTGGGCCTCAGTTTCCCCAGTTGTCCATCTGTAAAATGGGGTTAGGCACAGTGATCTCCTGTCACCTGCCTAGCAGGGGATCGGGGATCCGGGTTGCTGGAGGCCAGGGATTCGGGTGGACTGAGCGGCCCGGTCCACGGGGCGGGTCCCTCGGGTTTCCAGCTGGGCGGGCAGGCGTAGCGCCCCGGAGGCCCAGCTTTCGCTGGGGAATTCCTGGAGGGTGCGGGCGACTGGGGCGGGCTGGGGCGGGGCCGGGGCGGGACCGATCACCGCCTATAAGAGGGCACGCGCGCCAGCCCTGGCCACCAGCCTTCGCGCTCTCTCCGGACAGTGGTACGATGGCCCCTGCCCGCCTGCTCGCGCTGCTGTGGCTCCTCGTGGGCGCCCTTGCCGTCGCCGCCGAGTCGGTGGGTACTGGGAGATCCCCGGGGGGGCGGACTGGTGCCTCCTTTGTTCCTGGGATCCTGCGATGCGGGGGCAATGGGGAGGGGGATGCGCCGCCCCCAGCTAGACGCAGAGGCCAGAGACACTTTGTTGGAAACTTGGCTCCAGGGTCCCAGGGAGGCTCCGGGGAGGGGGGGGGCGGTGGGGGACTCCCTCGCGCGCCGTGCGCCCCCAGCCTGTTGCGCTTCCCGTCTCCCTCTGGCCTCAGCCCCGCCGCGGGCTCAAGGCTCGGACGTGACTAAGCTGGTGTCACCTCGTTTCCCCTCACCCTCTCGCCCCTTCCCTGGTGATCCTGGGGCAGGCTCGGAGCCCTGACGCCCCTTCTCGCCCTCTAGAATCCGAGATGGCCTGGGAGTGAAGAGGGCTGCTGCCTGTACTAGGAATGGGGAGGGGGTTAGGGTTCTGCAGGGCCTTGTTTCACACACCGGGGCAAGGAGTGAGCCCTGACCTCCGTTCTGGCCGCAGCCCTGCCACTGGCCTGTGGCTCCGGGGAAGGCCCTGCCCCTTCTGAGTCTCGATTTTCCCATCGGCCCAAAGCGTATGGGGGACTGGGACGGGAGGTGACCAGTGCTTCTTTAGGGTCCCTACAAAGTTGTGACGCTGATTTTTCAAGGGCGGACTGGAGGGGACGGTTTAGGCTCACCACTTGGCCAGGAGTCGAGCCTCTGCTCTCTGCCAGAAGAGCGTTTAGCGCTGGGGAAGCCTAAAGCTCCCACTCTGGGGTGGGGTGAAGGGGGGCTGGGGGAAGAGAAGGTCTCAGTGCGCCCTGAGGAGCGTCCTTCTCACCGCTTACTGGTCCCTGCTGTAGTTTACATAAGCCTGGGGCCCACCAGAAGCTCCGTTCGTCCCAGCAGCCAGCTGGGAAGGAGTGAGCCAATCACATCTGGGAAGTTGGGGTGTAGGAATTGCTGAGAGGCAATCTGACCCCCGCCCCCCAAACAGCCTGGGCTTTGTGCTTCCTTGGTGCCCTTAAACCTCGGTTTTGGGGAGAGCAAATCCAGTGGCGTTTAATCATTAATGTCAATTCTTTATGGGGCTCCTATTCCTCTGGGATTACTTAGGGGCGCTCGTTTCTGCCTGGCAGGCTTCATCTGAGGTATGGGTGAGACCCTGAGCTATACTCACCCCTGACCCCAGCCCCCCTTCCACCCCGTCCCCACGTACAACTGCAGCCCTGAGTGATGACAGCAAACATTTAGTGCTTACGATACAGTTCTAATAGATTTCTAATAGCTGTTGTAATGGCTCTATCAGCTAGTTTAATTCAGCCCTTCTGTTTACTGTTTTAAACTGGTCCTGAGGCTACAGAGGTCAACTAATTGCCCAAGGTCACACAGCTGATAAGAGGCGGAGTCAGATGCAAATGAAGCAGACAGGCTTCCAGGTCCCTTTTTTTCCTCTTTCGCACGTATCTTGACGTGTAGTCTGATGCTACTCTGAGTGGCTTCTGTTATGTCTCATCCCTGGGTCACTCTTTAGAATTCATAAAAGATTTGGGGTGGGCCGGCCACAAGGAATTCTGGAGTAGAAGGAAACCGAGGGCCAGAGTGAGGTGATGACTCCCCCAAACTAAGAAGGGCAACCTTGCCAAAAGGTGAGTGGCTGAGTTAGGACTCGAACCCAAGCCTGCTGCTCCCCGTGCAGTGCTCTAAACTAGGCCGCTGAAGGATGTGTTGGCGTCACAGTTGTGGAGGCATCCGAAGGAATGGCATGGCATGTCGCATCGGCCTGGGTGGTGTGGGGAAAAGGGGAAAGACCCTGGTGGTTGAGAGGTAACATGCCAGTCTTGGTTCAGGGGCTGCCAAGCCTGCAGGTGCTTGGGGGGTCGGGGGAGGAGCAGGCAGCTGTGCCTGGGGGCAGTCAGAAGGATGTGGTTTGGGGGAGGGTATGTGGTGACCCATCAGCTGGAGAAGTGAGCCCTAGGCAGCTGCTTCCTGAGAGAGGTGTCCGTCTCTCTCATCCTGACCTCAGCGCTCCCTTCCTGGCTAATGTTACGAGATCTTCCACCTCGAACTGGGTCACAGGGCTTCCCCCCTTTCCCCTGCACCCTGCTCCCAGCACTTTTCCTCCCAAGGCTGTGGCCGGAAAAATCAGACCTAGTCACAGTTGGATTAGACCACAGAGATGATCCAGTCGACACTTTTCTTTTTGCAGGCGGAGAAAATTGAGGCCCAGAGAGAAGGGTTTTGGTAATAACAGTTGTTGTTTATGGAGCGCTTTCCATATACCAGGTCTGGTGCATTTTATTCTCATAAAAACCCTAGCATGTGGGGATTATATTATGCCCACTTTACAGATGAGGTAAAATGGTACCATCTTGGGGTAGCAGAGAGCTTCCAGGCCATCAGAATCTCTTGTCCTGTAGTCCCCCTCCAATAATGCTACTGGGGCCGCTGCCCAAAGTTTAGGTTTAAGCCAAAGGCCTGTCCTCCCCGTGGGTAGTGCCCTCCTTTCCGCCCCCTCAGTGCCACAGGTTTTGGGAAGGGAACCCAGGCTGAGCCAGACTCTTCTCTGTTTGGTGGGGCTTTGCCGTCCTAAACCAGTTCTTCCTGTCCAGCTGGAAGCATTCCCCTGATCTGCCTTCCTGCCACTCCCTCCCTGACCAATTAAAGGCAGCCTTGTTTTGGGAGCTGGACCCCCGCCCCGTGGTATTGCTGCCCAGGGGCACAGACGTGGCACCAGGCCCGGTCAGTCCTGGGGAAGTGTCCCCCACGCACCCCCTGTACTTTAGCTAAGAGATGTTTCTGGTCTTCTTGAGAATATTCTCTCCTTCATTGCACAGAAGTAGCGGTGGGGACGGAAGCCCAGGGGGTCTAGGACCCTTGAGTGGCCAGAGAGAGTTCTTTGGAAATCTTAGAAGCCCAGAGAGCTACCAAAGGAAAATCTTTGGGCCGTGCTTTGGAGGACTCTGTGAGATTGGGTCCCTTTCTCTCTCTGGGTTGACATCCCCCATCTGTAAAATGGAGTTTGAACTGAATAGAGAGCCCCTTCCAGCTCGGATATTCTATTAATAATTAAGTAGCTACTCTTTGAAAGGGTTGTGGAAACCATAAAGACATCTGAGGCATTCCCTCCCTTGAAGAAACTTATGGCTCATGAGGGTATTAACATACCCCATCAAATTCTGAGCCCTTCCTCCTCTGCCCCTCTTCCAGCCCGACACACCCAGGCCAGGAACTCTGCTCTATTCACTTTCAGTGAAATACCTGGCCCGTAGTTAGTACTCAGGAAATGTTTGTATGAATGAACAAATAAATGTATGCATGTAACTTCATTCTAAAAGGTGTACTGAGGTTATTTATTACTAACATGATTGCCTCCCAGTGATACTGTGAGGTAGGTATTATTATCTCCATTTTTACAGGAAAGTGATGCTCAGAGGAAAGCAGGGGCTTGCCAAGGTCAGAACCAGGTCTGTCAGGTAACACAAGGTGTCTGATTTGCAAGTCCTCGGAGAACATTCCAGATGAGGAAATTGGCTGGGTTTGATAGTAGATGCCTTGGGTCCTCCTTCTGAATCGCTGGGTGACCTTGAGCAAACATGCCCTCTGGGTCTCAGTGTCCCCAACTCTGGAATGAGGCTGTTGGACCAAAGCCCTCTAAAGGGTCCTTTCTGGTGAGGGCAGAGGAGCTTTCTTGGCATCCTTGGTTGAGTCTACGCAAGAAGCAACGGTGGGGAGGCGGGTGGTGGAGACATTCAGCTCCTGCCATCCCCAGCTCCTGGAAACAGGGCTTTTCCAAGTACTTGGGAGTGCTGAGCTGGCCTGAATGAGGGGGCGGGAAGCCTGGCCTGGCTCTCCCGCCCCAGGTCCCTCTTGGGAGGAATTGGCTCCTAGCTGTCCTCAGCCTCCTGGACCGGTGGGTGTGATTTCCAAGTGATGACTTAAAATTGGGGGAAGGGGCTGGACAGGGCTCTGTGAGTCACTGGAGAATGGTAGCTGGCCTGCCTGAGTCACCCGTTTCCTTTCAACCTCTTGGCTAATAGGATGGCTCTGCAGTGGGCATGTTGGCATGGGCTCCAGTTTTACCTTGTCCTTTGGGGGCCTATCAGAGATAGTCAACTAGTGTCCAGGGCCTTGAAGGGACATACAGGAAATACTAGTACTAGGCCCCAGACCTTCACAGCGCCTTGCCTGTGTGTGGCCTCTGACGGAATAGAGTTGACCTCTGCAACTGACTTGTGGTTGCCAAGGGGGAAAGCGGGTGGGGAAGGGATGGAGTGGGAGTTTGGGGTTAGCAGATGCAAACTATTATATGTAGAATGGATAAACAACAAGGTCCTACTCTATAGCACAGGGAACAAGAGTCAATATCCTCTGATAACCCTTAATGGAAAAGAATGTGAAAAAGATTGTATATACGTATAACTGAATCACTTTGCTGTACAGCAGAAATTAACACAGCATTGTAAATCACTGTACGTCAACTAAAAACAAAAAAAGATTACTTAGAGCAAAAGAGAAAAAAGTAATTGACCTCTGCAGAGCAGGTAGTGCTTCCCCCCCCCCTCCCTTAAAGCAAAACTGAGGCTGCAATTGGTCTGAGTTTACAGAGCAAAGCTGGTACAGTCCAGATTTGATCCCAGGATTCTGATTTTTCTGATGCTCTCTCTTTCTTCTTGGGATTGGAACATTGATTTGGATTTAGGCAGACCTGACTCCAGAGATGTGAAGCCCCCCCTCTTACTAGCCCCATGGCCTCGGACAGGCCACTGGGCCACTCCAAGCCTCTGCTTTCTGGTCTATAAGAAGATGGGGTTTGTGGGGAGGCTTGTAGGAGATGACAAGGCCGCAAGTGAAGCTCTTAGGATCCCGCCTGGTAGGCAGGAGGCCTTCTTAGTGAAAGTTCCCAGCTTTGCCCAGGCTGTCTTGATGCCAGATGGTCCTTTCCTTTAGAAGATCCCACCCTCAGGGGCCCCAGGAGAGCTCTCTCCCCTCCCCGCAACAGCTGCAAGGTGGGAAGG